TCCTTAAAACTTAAATTTGATTACAACACCCTCATGTCTCCACCCTCCCCCCCACTGTCCCCAGGACCCCCACAGTGTCCCTAAGCTCCCCCCCACAGTGTCCCCACTCCCCTTTGCACCCTTAACTCCCCCTTTTCCCCCTTCATAGGCACCCTCCCCTCTGCCAACGCTCCCTCCTGCCGCCCCTGGAGCCTGAAAGTGAGCAACCTGGAGGGGCAAGTGAGCAACCTGGAGGGGCAAGTGAGCGACGTAGAGGGGCAAGTGAGCAATCTGGAGGGGGAAGTGAGTGACCTGAAGGAGGAAATGAGCAACCTGGAGGGGGAAGTGAGTGACCTGAAGGAGGAAATGAGCGACCTGGAGGGGGAAGTGAGTGACCTGAAGGAGGAAATGAGCAACCTGGAGGGGGAAGTGAGTGACCTGGAGGGGAAAGTGAGTTACCTGAAGAGGCAAGGGAGCAACCTGAAGAGGCAAGGGAGCAACCTGAAGGGGCAAGTGAGCGACCTGAAGGGGGGAGTGAGCAACGTAGAGGGGCAAGTGAGCAACCTGGAGGGGAAAGTGAGTGACCTGAAGGAGGAAATGAGCAACCTGGAGGGGGAAGTGAGTGACCTGAAGGAGGAAATGAGCAACCTGGAGGGGCAAGGGAGTGACCTGAAGAGGAAAGTGAGAAACCTGAAGGGGCAAGTGAGAAACCTGAAGGGCCAAGTGAGAGACCTGAAGGGGCAAGACAGTGACCTGGAGGAGCAAGGGAGCGACATGGAGGAGGAAGGGAGTGACCTGGAGTGGGAAGTGAGCGACACGGAGGAGGAAGCGAGCGACATGGAGGGGCAAATGAGTGACCTGGAGGGGCAAGGGAGTGATCTAGAGGGGCAAGGGAGTGATCTGGAGCGGCAAGGGAGCGACCTGGAAGGGCAAGAGAGTGACCTGGAGGCGCAAAGGAGCGACCTGGAGGAGGAATTGAATTACCTGACGGAGGAAATGAGCAACCTGAAGGGGGAATTGAGTGACCTGAAGAGGCTAATGAGGGACCTGAAGGGGAAAATGAGTGACATGGAGGGGCAAGGGAGCGAGCTGGAGGGGCAATGGAGCGACCTGGAGGGGGAAGCAAGTGACCTGGAGGGGCAAATGAGCGACCTGGAGGGGGAAGCGAGCAACATGGAGGGGCAAATGAGTGACCTGAAGGGGCAAGGGAGAGACCTGAAGGGGCAAATGAGTGACCTGGAGGGGCAAGGGAGCAACCTGGAGGGGCAAGGGAGCGACATGGAGGGGCAAATGAGCGACCTGGAGGGGCAAGGGAGCGACCTTGAGGGGGAAGCAAGCAACCTGGAGGGGCAAGGGAGCGACCTGGAGGGGCAAGGGAGCGACATGGAGGGGCAAGGGAGAGACATGGAGGGGCAAGGGAGCAA